GCTGCATTGAGCTTGTCTCAGCTAGAAGTCACTCTTAGACTTTGCATAGCTTAAGGGTGGAGTCATAGCTTAATAGTTTCAGTCAGTTCTGCCTTAGACATCTTTTGTTGTGTTTTGCATAAAGTACATATCTCTACAAACCTGAAGGCCTTAGGCCTCTTCCCCTATGGGCTACACACCCTCTCATATCTGTAGTTAATGAGACCCTTAGTTCAGTTCAGTGTTGTAACATAAGCAACTGTACAAATCAATGTCAGAACAATCACTTTGGTTGTAGTACTTTAGGATTCACTTGTTTTCTCTGCGCTGTTTAATTGCCTTTCATACTGTGTTTGGCATTTTCTTGTCACTTAGTATGAGCTGTTCTTGAAAGATTCCGGTTCAAAGAAAGGAGAAACTCATTATCTGGATGTTAAGACTCATTGGGTTGAATGTGAAAATGGGGATCAGAGTAATTTATTTTCAGAGCGCACCTGTAGTGCAATAAAATAATTTGCATAGAGTGCACTGTACAGTGTTCAAGGTTCAAGGATTTGTAAATATGTTTTTCTGCAACACTGGATTTGCTCCATGGGCAGGCCATGGCTCCTTGCTCTTTCCATTACTGCTGTTTGCTCAGAGTGGTCAGGCGGTCAAGGAAAACAAAAAGAACAGAGCAAATGACCTCCTGTGACTGCCAAGTTGCTGGGTTATGGCTCAGTCAAAGCTATTCCTGACTCCAGTGAGAGCTTTCAGCAGGAGAGGCCTTCAGGTTTTGGTCTTTGAATACCACCTTTTGACAACCATTCCTATGAATGGGGGCAAAAGATATTTTTTTTGATGCATTTGTCCCTTCTCATAAGTTTCTCTGTCGAAAGAATATTGCTGAACACCAGTGAACAACTGTACTTAGCCTTGCTGAGTAAAGTGTTGTTTGCTTCCTCTCATAACTGTGCAATGTTCCTAGTCAGATAATAAGATTATAATAATAATAAGATTATACTCCAGAGATAGTTCCTCTTCAGTGGAAAACAATGGAAATATGTGTGCAGATACCTGCAATGCACACACAGAGAGGCATATGTGTATGTAAATGCATGTGTGTATATACATGTATGATATTCATGTGTGCTTTCATTTATGATGTACCATGTCTTAGTAAAGAGACAGATTACAATATATTTATATTGTTTTCTGAAGTCTCAGCTCAGCTAGAATCCCTTTTTAACACGGTTTCCTGAGGAAATGAGGCTTTTGTGGTTATTCTGTCTGTGCGTTGGCTTTTGCTTTTGGCCTCTGACAATCTTTAGGTCCCATCGCTAATTTTAATTAAATTTGATATGGGGGTAGGAGTCTCAAAGATATGAAGTTCTTACAGGATTAATGAAAACTGGCTGCCAAGTATGGCAGGAAGATCTATTAATACTCCATCTGAAAGAAAGAGTGAAGCTTGAGCTCATTCCTTTGAGACAATGAGATATTATGAATGCCCCAACCGTGGGAAAAACTTCAATCACCGCTCACATCTTACTAGACACTAGAGAATCCAACCGCAAGATACACATTCATAGGAAACCAGGCTTCATTAGTTCCACCATTCGCTTTGATACATGGCATATGATTAAAAGAAAATTGAACATATTATGTGTCCTTCCCCTTGAGGCTTCACACCCTTTAACCAGGTTTGCCTGCACACAAGGGAGATTTGAGGATTTGGCCCTAAAGTAATTGAGACCACGCCCCTTCCAATATCCTGACTTAAAATCTTTCCAAGTATGGAATGAGACATAAATATAAACATAAATCTTCCATGAACTTGTATCAAAGAAAGGCATATACACGATGAAATGGAGAAAATCACAGTTTAGTTTTCATAGGGAAGACATTCTTGAGCATGATGCTGTAATCTTCTAAGCAAAGGCGTGGAAGTTATGTTAGTAGGACTTTATACTCCCCCTGAACAAAGAACTAGAATGATTTCCAAATAAGGAACGCCCTTGCATTAAGATAAAGGAGGTGACATGACAATTTTCAAGTTGCCAAAAAACCAGTACCTTGGATAATACACACAACTTTGGGAAAGTTTGGATTCATCATAGAGTCACAGACTGGTTTGGGTTGGAAGGTACCTTAAAGCTTACCCCATTCCAACCGCCTGATATGGGCTGGGACACCTTCCACTAGACCAGGCTACTTAAAGCTAAATCCAGTCTTGTTACTGTGATTAATGTCCTATTACTAGTTTTATCTTTCATGCACAATTGTTCCCATAGGTGATACTAGAAATTAATTAAGTTATTCTGGTTGAGATAGATAACTTATATAGCTTTCAAAATCAGGATGTACTGACTGATTAATTTATAAAGCAAGTTTCATGCACATTATCTGAAAATGCTGTTAATGTTGTTTAGGAATACTGTAGGGAGCAACTATCTGCTAGACCATAACAGGGAAAAAGATTTTAAAGGAAAAAAATGAAATCCAAATTTAAGGAAAAGCTGTCAGAATGCTTCTTTTCCGATTTCTACCTTTTATTGGTTTTGGTTACTGCTAAGGTGGAAAAACTGCTCAAAACACACGATTTGGTTTATTTACCTATCCATAGCTTCAGTTGCTGAATCAGTGTCATAGGACATTTTGGTTTGGGAATTCACCCAATTAATTATAAGGAATGAAAAATGAGAGTTTACCTGAACTGAATTTTCAGGGCGAAATTACATAGGAGCTTTAACACAGAAATCATTTCAGTTCATATGCACACATTTTCCCAGATGCATTTTTATTTGCACAAGTATCAGGCATTAAAATTATGTAGAATTCCAGAAACTGAAGAAGCTGCAGAAGACAAAACTACATAACACAGTACCTGAGATTCTGAGGTGGCTTCTGAACTTCTGATTGACTTCAGATCAGTAAGTTGAAATTCAATATTTAGTACTTATTTTAATTTTTAAAAAGAAGTAAATTTAACAAACTAAATTCCTAAGGGTGTTTTGTTAATCCTCCAGTTTTATAATTTTCCCGAAATATCTGGTATTCTATCTCACCTCTGTCTGGTACTGTAATAATGTCTTTATCATAAATTCTTCATTCATTCATAAATACCTATTTGTTTTAATGATTAAAACCCAACTAAAATAAATAACTTAATATGTCATCAGCAATCTCAGAAGTGTGTGTATTAATTGTCAAACATGCATTATTGCTTAAAATTTATTATATATCAAGTGTGTGAGATAAATTATATTCATGTTATATTCTGAACACCTTTATAATCAGTATTATGAATTTAAATGCTTCCTTATACCTTCTCCCTTACAATACTAAGTCACGTGGCACTAATATGGGACTAAAAAATGTCTTCTCTTCTAATTTGCAAAAGATTTACCCACTGATAGTCATCTTTTACTTGGCTAAAGTGGAACAATAAGTATCTCTCTTAACTGTCAATATTTTATACCCCCACATAACTGCTATGAAAAATTAAAATCTCCTTGCTGGTAGTCACTGAGTCACAGATTCGCTTGAATCAAGAGTGGAAAGCAACTGTTAAGACATCTATGGTTTGATTTTGCCATTCTGCATAGCTACAAAATCCCTGAATTAGGTTATACTCCAAAGTACTATTGCTAGTGCTTTACAAGGAATGTAAATTAGCAAAACACTTTTAGGAACTTCGTTTTGTAAATTCACTTCTTTTTTAGAAATTACAATATGCACTTAATATCGAATTTAAATTTATTGATCTTAAGTCGCTGATAAACTTCCTAAGACGTTTTAAGAGATTCTCAGTAACACATCTCTCCCCCTATCCCTCTCTAAACATATACATAGGGGGAAGGGAAGAGAGAGAAAGACTTGTAACTTTTAAAAGCTACATAATTTAGTTTAATTGACAGAGGAAGATACCAAATCAGGTAACTTTCAGGCTGTTCTTTAAAACCAAGGCTGTGAGTATTACAATTGAGTTCTTTTCTTCTACCAAAAAAAGGTTGCCAGTCTGAGCTTGCAGGGGCTAAGGCTGTGCCCTCAATGGAAGTTTTTCATTGTCTCAGTACGTAAACAGCCAAGACCAGTGACTTTAACTTTCACACGTCTGTTTTGTATTTCATTCTCTTTATAATTCAAAGCTGAAGTCTTGGCTGCATGCAGATGCCACCCCGACAGCTAACATTTTTTTTTTTACAGGTGTTTTGGCTTTCAATTTAGAATATTTTTAAACAGCATTTGGGTTTTTTGTGTTGTTTTGGAGTTTTTTGTTTTGTTTTGGGCATTTTTGTTTTGGCTTGGTTTGTTTTTTCCCCTGTGTATTAATATAAGAATAGCAATCTGAAGCCTTTCTAATATTTAACAAATACCTTTAACAAAGACCTGAAGAATGTCTATGGTTATAATGTATATTTTTAAATTTTGCAACTTCAAACCACTGAAAGATAATGTAGAATATCAAGAATACCTGTAATTGGGGAATTTTGTGAACCTTCACTGGAATGATTAAGCATGTGATAAATATGTGACATTTTTCTAAAATATCATATAAGGATTTTGTTGGGTTTTTTAAAGTATAAATAAAATAAAACCAGTTTTACTCGTGGTGCTAATGCTAAGATTTAAGTAGAAAGGAAATTTTATGTCACTTATATAAGTGAATGCTATCTTGGAGGTGGTGTCACTCCAAAATACTGTTTCTGTTACAATGGCTGTCCCATAAGATCTTTGACCATCTGTTTTTCGATGGTTTGAAATGTATGATCTGTGATATTTGCTACTGAGAAGTGTTATAGACACTGCTGACACAGATCAGATAAGAAACTGGGTCAGCTGACAAGATATTTCCTGTAACATTAACTCCCTGCAGCATTAGCATGTGCATCCTTCTGTGTGAGGGAGTTTCTGGACATGGGTTCTTGACAACTATATAGTTTCATTTGCAATTATTGAAAAGTATATTTCCTTTCCTAAAAAAAAAACCAACAAAACAAACCCCCAAAACCTCCCCAAAACCAACAAAAAACCCCACAAAAAAACAGAAAAAAAAGAAAAATATTTAAACCACATTTCTCTTTAAATTAGAAAAAAAAAATTAGTATTTAATTTCTCAATGCTTGGCAGTTTTCCTGTATTGCTCTGTCAGGAGCCTTGTCTTTTTATTCGTCTTCATTTCGGTTTAGAGATTATTCATTTATGGATGGGCAGCTGTAGAAACTTGCTTCCTGCATATGCAAATCAATCATGGTAATGTTTATCATAAGGAGATTTTGTGGCAGTGGAAAAGGGGTTGTGGCAACATGCTCCTGATTTCAATTGTATCTTCTACAAATGGAATTGGCTTCCTCACTTCGTCTTCAGTGGATTTTTTTTTGTTGTTTGCCATTTACCTCTTGGACTAGATACCACTCACTAAGCAAGCTGTTTGATTCACTTACAGATCATGATTTTGGAAGGAGCTGGCAGAATGAGTATCAATTCCAGCAGCAATCTACTTCACCAGCAACCTTCCTGGACAGATGGATATTCCACATGCAATGGTAGGAGGAATTTGAATGTTCTAAGCCATCTTTTTGGGGGGGGAGGTAGGGAAGGGGTTTCTACACCTTCAAGCATTCACAAGTATTATTTTTCAGCAATGCTAGTTTACTGGGGTTTCAGTTCTGATAAGAAAAATTTCCATTTGTTTCTTTATTTGTGAAAAGCTGAACTCGCAACACTGTTTCTGAAAGTGACCATTTTATGGTTTATTTCTTTACTGGTTCTTTTTCTTAAAATTAATTTAGTGGTGCTGAAAGTGCCAAAATTTCTCCTCCGTCCAGAATTCTTTCTCTCTTACCTTTACTCCTCAAACCTTCTCTGAACCAACATTAGTTTTCAATGCTAATCACCCCTCTGGCTTTCCAGGGGAATAGCCCTCTTACTCCTTTACTGTATTTGTTTTTTCAGCTCAAGTGGCAAGATAGCTTTCTAATTAGACTGGCATTAGAGCACTAGATAGCTTGTGATCTGAGAACTTCTTTTTTCCTTAGCTTTTTTCTGATTATATGGCTATATAAAAAAATGTGTTCATATATATTCTCTTCCTCAGTATAAAAAATATAGATATAGACATATATCTATATATGTACGGTTTAATATAATATTAAAATTCTTTTAATCACTCAGTCGATAGGTAGACTTAAAATCTAGGCAGACAAACATACACTGCAGTTGTCCTTCTAAGCCAAATAATGCTGCAACAAAACTTACCATGGAAGTTCCTACTGAATGAAACTCCTGTACTTTTTTGTGTGTAATTTCTAAATACACAGGAATACATAAGTATGCACTTAACAAATGTGCCAACCTGTCTCTAACAGATTAGTGGGGAAAAGAAGTCCTGACAGAGTGTCCCTTTGCGCATGATTTCATGAAGGGTAATGGAGGGGGGCTCTATTTTCAGGTTTCCAGTGTGAAAATTCTTAAGATTCACTTGTGTTTTAGAGGGACAAGAAGCCTAAAGGTCAGATCAGCCTCTGCATCGTTCACCACTTTTATCATACTACCCTTTCCTTTCACTTAAAGGCTCTCCTTTACATTAGGAATCTAGCGGCCTCTGAAGTTCCTTTACCCTTCTGAAGTGATGGGAATAAATATCAGCCTCCTTTTCAGGGAATACTTGATGGCTCCATCAAATCTTTATTCTCTGATGTACTGCACTCAATCTTTTCCACACTCATTCCCCAAATCCTTCAACAGGAGAATGAGACACAGTCCTGCAAACTCCCGAAGTTACTGACATTGACTTTCTCGGCAAGTAATGATAAACCTAAGTAACTGTAGGGCTTTTTTTTGTATTTAACTGGAAACTAGCACTGCACCCTGTATCTCAACAGAAGAGACATGAGGTCTAGTGCGGCTTGATGGGAGGTGGTTTCCTAAAACATGCCAACTCTGTTTCCTGTGGTCCTTTAGCAATATCCACTGCTACCATCATTTCTCACAGCTGTGTATGTAGTCCTTTTCTTGTGGAGAGTGAACTAATGCAATATCCTGGAGTGGGGCTACTGTAGAGCTAGGCCATGGCAGTCTTTCCTCCTCCTGTAAATAACTCAACCACCTCTTCAATCTCCCTTTCCCTCATCATTAAACCTTCATGCACTTGCTAGCATTTTATCATGCTGCTGTCTCTGCCTGGCATACTACATTTTCCTCCTTTCCCAAAGAATAAGTTGTACTGAACTCCTCCTGTGAGGGCAGACTAAAGCAGTCCTGTTTTTACCCTTATATAATTATCGTATCCCCCACATACAATTTCTTTCATTTGCACACAGAAATTATTGTCATGCAATGACATACAAGTAACTAAGAGCAGTTTCAAAGATTGCCAAGAGAAGATTCAGGCATCCTAACAAGAGCATTACACAGCTTCTGTAACTAAAAATTACTTTTACAACTGCATTCAGCAATTACCTTACCTGACTACAGAGATAACATACATTCATGAGAATGCAAGCTCTATCATAAAGCTTCCGACCATACTGATAGGCTTTTACTGGCAAGCAATATGGGAGTGCCTTGGCTTTTACCCTTCCTTGGTTGAATCTCACAATTCGTATCTAGTCCTTATTCAAAGAAAATTTCCATGTCACATTATGAGAATTTTGCAAGGCTTTTCCATCATTTTTCTGAGACACTAAAATTATTTTCCCCCATAAGGATCAATATCCCTTTTCAACAGTGCTTCTGTAACATATCTTCCATCAATTTTAGTGTATTCAGCCAACATTAATAAATAAATCCCTACGTAATCTGCCGAGAGGTATAATATAACAATTCTCAGGTTTCAATAAGAAAACAGGCAAAGAAAACCCCACAACCCAAGCTCAAACAACCCAATACCTTCTCCAGCAATAGCTACTGAGCTAGTGTTAATGACTGAGAAAACAATATAGATCCGTGGGCTTCCAGGGCATACAATTCAGCCATAGACCTTTCTTCTTGTTGACATAATCCCATGGTGTTAACAGAGGCAGTAAATACTTCTTTTATTTTCCAGTGTCCAGCAGCTTCTATGGGACACAGTGGCATGAAATACACCCGCAGTACTGGACAAAGTTTCAAGTCTGGGAATGGCTGCAGCATCTCCTTGATACCAACCAACTGGATGCCAACTGCATACCTTTCCAGGAGTTTGATATCAATGGGGAACATCTGTGCAGTATGAGCCTGCAAGAATTCACTCAGGCAGCCGGGACAGCAGGGCAACTGCTTTACAGCAACCTTCAGCACCTAAAATGGAATGGTAAATAGATAGTAGGCAGAGATGCACAGATGGTGATCTGAATTCTGGGATCTTCAGAGTTGCTTAAGTTCCCCAGGCACCTACCTGGGATATCTCATTTGCTGTGTTTGGTATGCTGCTTATAACTCATTCACTGTACTGGGAAATTGTTTAATATGAGAGAAGGCAGAAGTCTGAAGGACCAGGGGAAACGGATGTTTCCCACTCCAGAATTAGCCCTCTGGATCAGCTGTATCATTTGCTGCTTGGAGATAATACTTTTGATCCTTCTGTGCTCTTTGTCATACTGCCTATCTGCCATATGCTTTCTTGCAGGCCAGTGTGGAAGTGACATGTACCAACCTCATAATGTTATTGTGAAGACAGAGCAAACAGGTGAGTAACAATTGGGTAACTTGTCTTTTGATGATGAGAAAAATGGGAAACTCTCCACTACAAGAGAGACATATCAAAATGGTGTGAAATAAAATGGAAGGTGTATCATGCAGAATAAAAGAAGTAACACAAATATCAGTCAGCGCCTACTTTTTTCAGTTTTGGGTAGTACCACCATATCTTAGTTTGCATGTGGCCACTTCTGGGAGACCTCTGCAGTATCAGCAGCCTATACTGATGTTCAGGATTGGAAAATAGTTTGCAGTGCTCAGCAAGTGCAGCTTTGGAGAGGACTTCAATCTATACCTCATTCAGCAGATTTCAGAACAAATGCTTTCACAGTATTCTCAGTTTAAAAAAAAAAGAAAATAAAAATATTTTGTTGTGAAGTGCTGTTAATGTTTGAAACATGAGGAAATTTCCAAACAAAGCAACTTTGAGAGAAAAAAAAAGTTATTTTAATTTCTTCACATTTCAGTGAGACTGAAACCTAGGCAGTATTTTGCTTTGACTGAATCGTCATTTCTCCTGTTACAGTCTTTTTTCCCCAAGTGTGCTCATAGCTAAATCCCTCTCCTCCCAGGACTTTGTTTCACTGAGAAAAGGAGCTTCAGCTTGTTTCAATCCTCCAGTCACAATTATTTTTCTGGTTTATCTGCCAGAGCACCTCTGTCCGTATTCAGACGTTCTCTACCCCACTAGTCCCAGTCTCTTTATATGTGGGTGTATTCATGAGCCACGTTTTAGTACCTGCCGTCAGAAAGAATACAGATTTGTAGTGTGCAACGTCTCTGACAAGTCCTGCCAGTGTATGTATTCATCTAATGCAGAGGAGCTGAGCCTTCCTGGACAGGACACTGTTAGTCTTCCCCCTGCAGTGGGCAAGCACTGCAGTCTGCAATCCACTCCTTGCTTGTGCCATGTAGTATGGGTGATGTGCCTACACCAGCCTTGGTGCTTGCCATATTGAAAACTAAAGTAATCCTTTAAGTCCTGACTTACAAGATCTTGGTATTATATTAGTTCCTCCTCCCACTAGAGATACACAATGCAGTGCACAGCCCAGAAAGGTCAGAGCCCAGGATTAAAGGACGGTTCTTCAAGCTGCACTGATCAGGAGTGGCGTGGTGGGGCTCTGGCAATGCCAGTCACAGGCAGTGGGAGTGGATTTAGTTCCTGCATGGGGAGGATTAGGGCTGCTGGGTAAGGGACTCCTTGTGGAGCAGCAGGGATAGGGACGAAGGTTTAGAGGGGAAGCTGGTCTCATTCAAGTAGACTGTTGCAGTTACAGAGACATGGGTACTGAAAACGGACAAATGGGACCACAAGCTGTCTGCCCATGTTATGGCTAGGTTAGGCCTGTCTTCAGAGGCAACATTAGGCAGATCAGGTGTCAAAGCAAGCAAAGGGTGTGTGCTATTATAGGAACGCAAGCTCTGGGTGCCCAAACATGCAGCTATTCGCATGCCTGCTAAATTCCTATGTCATAAGAGTTAACTCAGCCAAACATGATGATTTAGCTATAACTCATTTTTGTTTTTTTCTTTCATTTGTATGGACATGAAAAAAAAATTAAGTAAAACCTAATTTTGAACCTTCTATCTCATCCTTTCTGACTTGGATTCAAATGAAAAAGAGATTTTTAAGGCTTCCAATCTCAAAAATGCACTGCAAAGAGAATAGTTTCCCAACTAATGTAGGGGTCATGAAGACAATACTTCAGTTCTGCTTACATTGATCCATCTGACTAGAAGGTCACTAAAAATTTTTCTTCTTTAATCATGAAGGTAGTTTTTATGTTAAGGATGGGGATATGACGTGCCTGGAGTAAAATGGCCCTTCATCTAGTATAAGGCTTTGATGTTTCTCACTGTGTGCTTATACATGAAGCTCTGTTTCACAGGGGACTTTTGAATTCTACCATTATGGAAATAAATACTCATGTTAAGCATCCTCCTGTTTACTAGATATTTGAGAGCACTTTCATCTCTAGGGGACCAAAGCACTGTCATAATCAGCAGGGGCTGAATTGGGTAGAATTAGAGTTGACCTGGCATTAGACACCCCCTTCAAGGGCAGGTATAAATGACATGGCAAGGGGGTTGGAACTAGATGACCTTAACGTCCTTTCCAACCCAAACCATTCTATGATTCTATGATTAAAAGGAAGATCCTACTACATTATTTCAAAAAGTCAGTGCTTTGTGTAAGTAAATTTGCCTGAATATGCAAAAACCCGTTCATAATTTGAGTGAAAGGAAATAATTTCTTGCACAGCCCCTTCACTTCTTTCTTCCCTTCACAGCTTTGTTTTTGAACATTTGTTGTTTTCTCAGTGCTCACTATTCACCTCTGTGCTAAAAAAATGTTCTTCTAGTGATTTTCCTTTTGGTCCTTTACCTTCAGATCCATCTTTAATGGTGTCCTGGAAAGAAGAGAATTACCTCTATGACAGTGGCTATGGTAGCACAGTAGGTAACTAACTTCACAATACCTCATGTATTTCTGAGATGGTTTTATTGTTGTCTGAGGCTATTACTTTAAATGTCTTCTCTTTAATTCCCAGAACTACTGGACAGTAAAACATTCTGTCGTTCTCAGATTTCTATGACGACACCTAGTCACCAGCCTCCTGGTAAGGAACTTGTAATTATATTGTTAATTGTTTTGTCACTTGTCCCAGAGCTACCAACATGTAATAGTTTGTGTTGTCTTCTGCTGTAGGATTGAATCTGAGCCTCCAGTAATTCTAAATTAAGCAATGCCCCATCCCTGGCAGTGTTCAAGGCCAGGCTGGACAGGGCTTTGATCAACCTGGTCTAGTGGAAGGTGTCCCTGCCTGTGGCAAGGGGGTGGAACTGGATGAGCTTTAAGGTCCCTTCCAACCCAAACCATTCTGTGATTCTGTGAATACTGATTCTGATAGTTATTTTAACTATCATTGGTGCAATAGCTTGCTTTAAAGAAATGCTTCTCTGTCAAAAAAAGGAAGATCAAATAATCTGCAATCTCCACGTGTCTTTTAAAGTGACTGAGGCAAAGGGGAAGGTATTAGAGTCAGAGAGACGAGACGTTCCAGCTCACCACACTTTTCTGTGGTGTAGCTGAGTATGGGTAAATGAGTGCCCTGTTCCTCCCCAGAACTGGCTGTGTTTCCCTGGAGAGCAAGTGGTTCATGCTTAGTAGATTGCTAGGTTTGGGGCTGGGTTTGGGGAGCCATAGGGCTGGCAGCAATCCCTCTGCCCAGCTGCACCACCAGAAGGGATTCCTGCTGGTGCCTGTCTCAGTGGAGAGCAGGGCAGGCACTCCATGCCCTTTCACCCATGCACTGTGCTTCCATGAGGCAGTGATACAATCTGCCTGCCAAAGGGCAAGAGAAAGAGCAATCCTGTTTGCCATAGTGCCCAGCGGAAGGCAGGTCCTCCTTAGAAGGCTGAATGAACAGACCTGAGAGAGAAAGCAGTGGGGATCATGGGAGGATGGGAAAGGCAAGCACACTGCAGTAGATACAGCTTCACAAGTGCTACCTTTATGTTGGGGGCAGACCTATGCTGCTGCAGCACAGCCTCTGTGCCTGCCCGTTTGTTGCACCCACTGGCCTCCCAGCAACAGCCAGACTTGCCAAGTGACCTACTGTTTAAACCAGTGCACTCAGCCGTGGATTGAAAAATAAATGAAATAAGAGAAAACCAGATCAGAAGATGAAAACCACCAAACCTTAAAATACCTCAAGCACTCTGTTTGCTTTCCCTGCCACCTCCACCCACTCTCACAAGTTGGCTACGAGGATTTTGGAGCCCTCCGACAGGACTGGGGACCTGTCAAGATCTTAGCACCGTGTGTTTACCTGCTGACTGCTTAAGCCTAGAGCTAGGGTGGCACGCCAAGGGCACAGCCTCCTGTAAAAACTGAATTTGTATATCCTGTAAAAAAAAAAAAAAAAAAAAAAGGCTCATTCCTGAATCATATGCAAATACTGTGCAACCTTTTGTCAAAAGTTTTGCAAGACTGCTTTGTTGAAACTGCATCGTAACTCTTTTCATCTGTCAGGCCCCAGCCTCCTAACATGGCATGTTTGAAACCGGTCTCCATGTAGGAGCAGAGGCAGAGCGGGAGGCTATTTACACAGCTGAAATCCAGAATAAATCACCAACTAGGCAGAAGGCAACTGAACTTCCAAGAATAAATCTCCAGCTAAGTGGAGCATAACAAACATTTGCAAGCAAATTGTAAGATTTTAAAATGAGACAGATTTATATAAGAGGGCAAATAAAGGACTGGTCCTGCTTGGGGATTCCACAGATTTTGATAACATCAGAGGAATTATAATCTGAGGAAAGGCAATAAAATAAACCTCATTTTGCTTTCCCCCTCCAAGCTGAGTGAGGTTCGGGCTATTCCCTGCTCTTTGAGAGCGGGCAGGCAAAATGACTCAGAGTGTGTTTGCCGCTTGGGTGTCAAGGACAATAATTATGTTAGGCTCAGAACAGTGGAGATTAGGCTTATCCTCACTGACCTGTTCAGTTTATGTTTCCAGTTATGTATGAATAAAGTGAGTGTGTGAATAGCTTTGCGTCTACCTTTTCACATGCAGTCTTTGCAGTTGCTTGTGCAAATCCAACAAGTTTCTATGCAAATGAATGTTTCCTGTGAGTCATTTTCCCATGCAAATTCCCAGTTTCCATGAAAAGTATGATAATCATGCATTCATAGAAGCTGGGAAAACATGCGTGGGACCTTAAGCTTCACTTCACGGAATTCAGGCACAAAGTATGCTGAAAAGCAAACACAGAACGGGCTCCCTCTCAGGGCTATCCCACAGATTTTGTGAGACGTGGAGCGATCAGATGAAAGCTATTCATTAATGACAAGAGCAGAGCCAGGCTGTGGTGGTTTGAGGGCAGGAGGGTTGAACGTGCAGACTGTGAGGTAGGTTACAGTCATGAACAGGCGGAACTTTTTTTTCCCCTTCATTTCTGTAGAAGTGCTTGTGCCAGAAACCCTACTCCTCTGTCTGGCTGCAGGTGATAAAGTACTATTGATGAGAAATGGCTTGTTCCTATGGCTCCGAGCCATGGAACAGTATATGCATGTCCAGCTGCCAAAAACTCCCACTAGTGCAGCCCTGTTCCCCCATCCTGCCTCCACCCCCAAACAACAATGCTTTGCCAGTTCATTACATTTTAGTCAGGTAGGTGTTCTGTGCATTGGTACCAGTGCATGCATGCATTTTACATTAGATCACCACTTCAAAAACAAATAAGCCCCCAAAGATACATGCTTCTGCAAAGACTAAGACATAATGGGACAATTCAGGATTCCTTTTATAGACGTGATCATCTTATTTTTCTCTCTCACACACATAACATAAGGTGAGATATTTGTTAATCAAATTTAGGTTTCAAAAGCCAAATGTTTACCTCTGGATTCATTCTTTATTCATCAACGGTCTCTTTATGAAATGTGATGATTAACATATAGTACAGAAAACAAAACTCTCCCCCTTCCTTTTCACTTAGATTACCTTCTGAAAAGTGATTATCTTTAAGAGAGATATTTGTTCTTTTTTTGTGGTTATATTTCTTTCAACCTGCTAGTCAACAGAAAGCCTTTAATCAAACTTACAAATAGGTTTCATTTTCCTTCTCTGCAGAGTCTTCAGATGTGAAAAAATCGCAAGATCATATACAAAAGTCCCACACCAAGAAACACAGTAAGTCGACATCTGTGTTTATAGTGGTTGATTGGCTGAAGGAAAAGAAACACACTGAAAGCAAATCCCCTTCAGGAGGGAAAAAGGTGCATTTCAAAAGCAAAAGTGGTTAGATTGTTGCTGTAACTGAATTGTCCAACGATCTGACTGTTTCTAGTACTGTTTGCTTATCATGATTTTTGCATCAGTATTGTTATGCTTTTCAAATTTTTATCAGTAAGGGTTTATGGGGAAGCAACCAGAAACCAGTTGCCTCTGCCCTATGTTGAGCTGGGCTAGTGGACTGGAGTAAAAAAATGATGAAGGAGACCCAGGACTAAATCAGGAAGGTCTGTGTGTGCATGGCCATGCTCGTGTCTATGCCTGCCAGGTGCAGTGTGTCCCAGAGACCCTGCTTAGAATCTTCTTGCAGAACTTCTCATGCATGTCATAACAAGCAAGCACCTGCCCCTCAATCCTGCCATTTTCTTCCCCTCTGATCTGACAGTTCCACTCCCCTCATCTGCTAGTTTTGATTCAACCTGATTCTGAAGATGTGTTACTGTAACTGTGATTTCTGGGCATAGTTCTATTATGTACTTTGCTGAGATTTTAATGCTGAAAATATCTTGTGTATGTCTTTTGCATCCTGCAGCATTTATCTGTGTCAGAAAATGTTAATATTGGACCTTTGCTGCATTTTGTACTAATTGATTTCATCCTGTTTCAGTCTGGTCTCCAGATTATGTGTCTCTTCCTGACTCCTCTTCTTACTCTGCTCTGTGACTTTGCCCAGCCAGAACTCCCAAACTTTTTCTCTGCAGACAGATATCTTGCTTCGTTTTTGTGTGTGTGTTTGTATGTCAGGGTTGCTAATGAAAGGATTAGGTAGGACTTATCTGAAGACAGATCTGAGAAGATCTGAGGTCACTTGGTTTGTGCAGCATAGAGAAGAGAAGACCAAGAGGTGACCTCATTGTAGTCTACAACTTCTTCAGGGAGATCAGAGGAAGGGCAGGTGCTGATCTCTCTCTGCTGACCAGTAGTAGGACACAAGGAAATAGAATGAAGCTGCATCAGGGGAAGTTCAGATTGGACATTAGGAAAAGTCTTTTCACTGAGAGGGTGGACAGCCACTGGAACAATCTCCCCAAGGAAATAGTCACAGCACCAAGCCTCTCAGAGTTCAAGGAGTGTTTGGACGAAGCTCTTAGTCATATGGTTTAGTTTTAGGTAGTCCTGTGTGGAGTGGGAAGTTGGACTCTATAATCGTTATGAGTCCCTTCCGATTTAAGGTAGTCTATGATTCCAAGAACTCAATCACAGCCTTGTCACATGGAAAAGCTCACCTTGCCATGATGGCCTAATAATTTCCAGTTTCATCATTACTGCTCTCTATCATGATCTATTGATTATGTTACATGTGTCCAGATAGAGTAGGTCCACCACAAGTTGTTGGTTCTAGAAAACAATTTTAACAAAGAAAAATAATGATTTAATTGATGTTGCACTGTATACCATTTTCTATTTACCTTCATGTCTTTGACTAGCTGGTTTCTTTCTTAGTTTGGTCTAAATACCCTTGCATATGTTTGAAGTCAGACCAAACAACTGCTATCTTTCTGGCCCACCTCATCACTATGTTTGTTATTCTTCCTTCATAAACTACTACATCTGACTTGTTTGATTTATTTAGTATTTTTCTTTTTGACCTGGGCTTTCTGGTGCCATCTCTACTGAAACTGTGGGAGAAATTTGCACTTAAACTGGGAGGTCTACTTGCTGAATTTAGAGATCTGTTTTTGCCTTTTCTAATATCATGGTCAAACTTTTTTAAACCCGTTTCGCATGCAATATTGGCTGGCCAGTTTTGTCATTATCCCTCTATCTATTCTACACCTTCTTACTTCTTTAAGCCTATCTAAGAGATGTGGGACCAATACTCATTGATGTCAAGCAACATTTCACCTCCTTTGCCTTCTGTCTGTCTTCTAAAAGCTTATCTTGGCTCTTTCACATACCACATGATAATATCAGGTTACATGACATGCTGTAGAAGAATATCAGGAAAAATGGGCAAATGAGATGAAGGGGAGACTTAAACGTGTTATCTCCAGGGCAGAAACAGTGCCAAAGGCAGAAGGAAGCAGGAGGTGGTTTAAATGCTGCTTCTCCTGGTTGTTGGGGCTCCTATCTGCCACCACGGGGCTCAGATTGCCGAAGGCTGACACTTACCTCCAACCTCAGTGTAAAGGCTGCCAGTGTTTTTTGGCTTTCTATCTCTGAGGTAGGAGTCCTGCGCTCCAAGACTATGGCCTGTCCCTACCAAGCGGTGACCATCTGTAAGTTACACACTGTAAGAACATGACATAAAAATGGCAAGCATATGCTGGAAGCCTCTTTATATACTTCTTCCTCTTGCCCCCTTTCCTCTTTCAGACCCTCGAGGAACTCACCTTTGGGAATTTATTCGAGATATTCTTCTCAATCCTGAGAAAAACCCAGGATTAATCAAGTGGGAAGATCGGTCAGAAGGTGTCTTCAGATTTTTAAAATCTGAAGCTGTGGCTCAGCTCTGGGGAAAGAAGAAAAACAACAGCAGCATGACTTATGAGAAACTCAGCCGGGCTATGAGGTGAGCAGAGATATTGCTGCAGAAGACTGGGGCATGTAAAGGCACTACCTGAATGGAGAATTTGGTTGACTTATTTTAAAAAATGAATTTTCAGCAGCACCAATTGCTTTCTTTGACAACTGAGTGTTTCACAATAATTTTGAGATTGTAACGTAATGTTCTTCCGTGTCTTTTCTTTCCCCTCATGTTTCTGTATGCTATAATATATATAACATACATATGTATTATGTATATAATATATAATCTGTTGCTCTCCACCCAAACAACCAGCGTAGGAAAGAAACAGGGACGTAGAAAGGTGAAAGTTCACATGCTGCTAAACTGGGAAGGCTTAAATGGCCTAGTAATGGCTGGAGACCTTGTTATTTCCATCAGTGTTCAGAAACTAGACATTCCACCGTCCATTACTTTAAAATAGTTTTACAAGATCTGTGTGAGGATTTTCTTTGCTTTTTGCTTTAACATTTTGAGCATTTTCCCACATTCCATAAAAGTTCAAAATGTATTTTTAAGTGGAAGCTGACATTTTCTCCTGGTCAGATTTCAGGTCCTGACTTGTCTGGAGAAAAACCCCATGAAATCTCATAAGAATGTGTAATAAATAATAGCTATATGCTATTGTGCTGTGTTCAGCAGTAGCAGTAATTTTTTCTCCTTCTTAGTAGCTGGTGCAGTGCTGTGTTTCTGACTTTCAGCCTGGGAACAGCACTGATAATACCGATGTTTCTAGTTACTGCTCAAATGTTTAGTCTGACCAAGGACTTTCTGATTCTCATGCTCTGCCAGGGAGGAGGGGAAGCCGGGAGGAAGAGACAGGACACCTGGCCCAAACTAGCCAAAGAGTTATTCCATACCACAGCACGCCATGCCCAGGACGTAAACTGAGAGTTACCTGGAAGGGCTAGTTCACTGCTTGGTCGGGCTGGGTATTGGCGGGTGGTGAGCAGGTGTATTCTCTTCCCTTGTTATTTCCCTTATCATTATTATTATTGGTGGCAGCAGTGGTTTTGTGTTATACCTTAGTTACTGGAATGTTCTTATCTCAACCCATGGGAGTTACATTTTTTCTATTCTCCTCCCCATCCCTCTTGGACTGAGGGGGGAGGAAGTGGGGGAGTGAGCGAGTGGGCTCTGTGGGCCTGAGTTACTGACTGCGCTTAAACCATGACAGCTATGACGTGAAATATAGTGAAATTCCAACTCAGAAGATAACTAATATAAAGTAAAAAGAAAACATCAACTTTTTCTTCTCTTTCTGTTATAATAATCTTACATGTTATATGTATCAATAGAAAATAAAGACTTTTCAGCTAGCTGAGGGATTGCCTAGTTGGAAATGGCCTTTTAGGACCATAGGTGAATGTAATGTTGAATCTTTCTCTATGTTTTTATTTCGACAGATACTATTATAAAAGAGAAATCCTGGAGCGTGTGGATGGTCGGAGATTAGTGTATAAATTTGGAAAGAATGCCCGTGGCTGGAGAGAAAATGAGAATTAAATATGTTAAGAAATAGCATTTAAAACACCTGGATGTAAATATTCAAAGACTATTTTCTTATATTTATGTACCAAACTAGGGTGAAAAACCAATTCTACTTCTGTCGGGAAGAAGGAACATTATCATTATTGGTGTTAAATTTATTTTATTTGAAGTATGTCCTGTATGGGGAAAAAATGTACACAGTTTTCTGTGATATAAGTTAACATTATAGAATTATGATTATTTTTCCCTTCTTGTGAAGTTTTCCTCTTTTTTTTTCTTTTTTTTTTTTAATCATACAGGCTTAATGTGATTTACAACTCGCGCAAAGAAAGGGAAGGAGCTAAATACTAGGGCATTTAGGGAGTATGATAACCTACTTTGGAAGGCAACTGTAAGTGGAGGAAACAGTACAGCATCTCTGAGCCAAGTAGTCTTCTTCCATAGTCAGCTGGTAGATAGCTTCCATTGGCCGATATTACTTGTTCCTCCCTTCTGATTTCTGAGTGTTTTGCTGGCTTCTAGTTGCTTTTGTTGAATCAGATGGTGGGTTCCTCTTCAGATAGCTTATCCTAGCCACTGAGAGCAGTGGTGCTGCAATGTGGCTGTCAGCATTTATTTTGAGAACCCATCCTACTTCCTCCACTGGGACCTTCTTTTGTAGGCAGAAGTTTAGGACCTGAGCTTACCTGGTACTGAGTATCCTCCCTAACCTCCAAAGGGCATTCAGCTCATCCCAGGGAAAGGGTTATTTGTTTTTAACTAACATCTTTGAGGTGAACTGCAGGAAAAGAGTCAATCTCAGGACCAGAAGCTATTGAAGGAAGATGACTTTTTTCCAACTGGGCAAACTTGCTAAAATACACCAGTTTCCCAGCAGAAATGTTAATACTCCTTCCACCTTCTTATATGCCTAATTAAAGCATTCACATCCATGCAACATGAAACAGTGAGGAGGTGGGCAAGCAGAATTTATATTAATCCCATGGCATGAGAGAGAGTCTCCCAGTTCCTTTAAGTCATATGGTCCTCCCGGCAGGTCAAGTCTCACTTGGACAGATAGTTTCAAAAAACCTTTGATAAATGCATAGCTCTATTGCATGTAAAATATTAGTTTCCCCTACTTTTCTCAAGTCTAACTGTATATTGTATTTGTATTTGTCAACTGTGCTTGGGATTCTTAGTTTGAGGAAAACCCAACATAAAGACACTGAGATTTTGGGGACATTCAGATCTGGGTCAGTATTTTGGGCTCTCTCTAGCAGTCCCATGTGGAGACTGAATGTTCACTGGAAGCTTTTTTTTTTAATCCAAGTCACAAATGCTTCCTGCTGGTGCAAAGCACATGTAGAACATGGGAAAATGAGGCAGCACTTCACTAGGTCACTGAGGACATGAGAGGTGGGAGTTGAGAAACAGAATTTTCTTGGTGATTTTAACAGGGGTGAAACCAAGATCAATTCCAACCCACTTTTTCAGGGATGGGGAATTTGGAAAACAGAACAGAGGCTGAGAAGTCCGGGAAAAAAAAACACAAAACAAACCCCCCCCCCCAAAAAAAAAAAAAAAGAAGAATATTAAGTCCATCCAATATCCATTTCCACAGTTGTCCCCTGGATTTGAATCCATATTATCTTGAAATACTGCAAGGTGCAGTTGGAGGTTGTAGGATATTCCATTTTTTGTTTGTATTAGGAGGAAAGAGATGAAACCAAGAGACAACAGAATTATCAATATAAAGGGTATCAAATGTGCTTATAGACAATTTATAGGCAAACGTGAGAGCCTAACTTGTTATCTACGCATGTAGGGCATGTCAAACAATAACACCACCTCCTACACCATGTTTGCCAGATCTGTCACCATCAATTACCTATACACGACAATTTTTACTTTTCATAACCTGGGTGGAGAGAGGTTCATCTTATTTACAAATCAAATAATGAGCCTCTGTACTTCAAAGCATTTCTTCTCTCAGTATATCTCTCGTTTTTTTTTTTTTTTCTGGACTGACTGTGCTTGCTTTTGCGCAACTCAAGAATTTCCTTTTTTTTAGATTGATTAGCTACATTCCACTTCCTTTACCATCATTTTGTAGTGCGTATAACAAGAACCAGGACACCAGACAAGGAGAGCACCTTCTCTCTGCTTTAAAGACTGTTCCTTCCCCCCACCCCATGGTTATTTGTAGCCCTTTGCTCCATGCTCTTCACACCCCACCAACCCCCTCCACACCTTGGGTGAAATCTGAAATCATTGGTACCATCAAAAATCCACAATACTGTTGTACCTTATCTCAGGAACATACATCTTACAGCAACTGACTGTAATATCTTCATAAAGCTGCTTTCTACCAGACCTCTCATCAGGCTTCTGGGGAGAAAAAATGAACTTGTGATAGACACGTGTCACTGCTTGGTTACAGAGCAGCAGCTAAACCTGGTTTATAAAGCTTTATTTAGAAGCATAGTGTATAAATCTAGAGGGTGATTTACTTTGGGCTCAGTATAAATGTTAGTCTTCCACTGTCACATCGTTCAGCACATGGAAATTGTGCAAGTTTCTATGCCCATTCTGCAGAACTTTTCAGATCAGGTATTTGTCATTCAGCATTACAATAGCACAAAGTTGGAATAGAAGCCAGCCAACATTTACTCTGTTTTACAAACATATTAACCTTTGCCGAAGACGAAAACAAAGGACTTTTCAAGACTACAGTTCTTGCCAAGGACAGATCCAAACAGCCAAAGGGAGGTTTTTTGTTTTTTTTTTTACCAGACCTAAGCAAATGGAGAAAATGAAGAGATGAATGTTTATGTAAACTACTATTTAAACAAAAAGCATTTCTGATTGCTCTTTTATATTTCAGAAGCTGAGCAATCATATTTTTAGATGTATCCTTTGAGTTAGCAGCTGCTGAACTGGTAGCACCATGTGTATAGATTTTTATTGTACCATAATTTTTCATATGTATAAAGCTCTAGATTGGAAAGTATATTATATTTATATAGTTACATGCAAATCACAATGTTAAACGTGTTGGCATGAGCACTCTCAAACTTATATTTTCTGCACAAAAATAGAGCAACTAACTCTGAAAACATCCTGAGAAACTGTATGTAGGCTGGTGAACCACCCAGACATTAAAATGTTCAGTTACATTTTCATCTTCCTTTCTGCAGCACATTGCATAATTCCTGCTTGCTTCTCACAACATCATCTTCAATGCATGCATGTGGAAACAAATCCAAGTTAGATATTTCACTATTGCCACTGTAAATCTCAGCTCGGAGACTATGTATCACAAAATGGTTCTAAAGAATGTTTCTATTTTTGTGGATGTGATATAAATTCAAATAAAACATGAAAGAAATTTTCTGATTCATATTTATCTTCACCTATTTATGCCTTGAGATGGGAACTGACTAATACAAATTCTTTTTATACTGGAAAACATTTTAATATTGTTGAAACAACTGATGTAACTACCACAAAATCCAAAAGCTTAAATTTACTAACATGGCTGCATAGCCCATTCATTGTGAAGATACTGGATTTCCAAACCTGTTTTATGTCTCACAGGCCTTGCTGGAATACTCAATTATGTCGACACAGCTAGATTGCATTTCTTGTTTGGCTGCTAACTTTACAAAGGTCTTACTTCAGCACTGATTTAACTTTAAGGTGTTTTGAAGTGTGTGCAAGGGCTAGGCTGATTAAGGATGCCATTACTCACCCTGAGCATTTCCTTTACTGAATCAAAGCAGCTAAAACTATGAAATCCTGTCCTTCATTTTATTTTTCCATCTAAGCGGTTGCTACAAGAACACTCAGAAAGGTCAAGGGAAAGGATTCTCCCCTTCTACTCCACTCTGGTAAGATCCTCACTGCAGTCCTGTGTCCAGCTATGGTGCCCCCAAAACAAGAGGGACGTGGAGCTGTTGAAGTGAGTCCACGGGAGGCCATGGAGATGATCCGAGGGCTGGAGCACTTCTGCTGTGGAGACAGGCTGAGAGAGTTGGGCTTTTGCAGCCTGGAGAAGAGAAGGCTCCAAGGAGACCTTAGAGCAGCTTCCAGGGCCTGAAGGGGCTGACAAGAAATCTGGAGAAGGGCTTTTGACAAGGGTCTGTAGGGACAGGACAAGGGGGAATGGCTTTAACCTGACAGAGGAGAGACTGAGATGGGATATTAGGAAGAAGTGAGGGTGGTGAGGCCCTGGCACAGGTTGCCCAGAGAAGCTGTGGCTGCCCCATCCCTGGCAGTGTTCAAGGTCAGGTTTGACGGGGCTTGGAGCACCCTTGTCAGTGCAAGGTGCCTCTGCCCATGGCAGGGGGTTGGAACTGGATGAGCTTTAATGTCCCCTCCAACCGAAACCATTCTATGACTCTATGAACATCTCTCCTGATTTGGTCTGCAGCTTGAGGAAAAAAATGAAAACCCCTATCCTTAATAGAAATTCAGTGAACCCTCATGGTATTTACACTAGGGTGGGGGCTGTGGCTGCATTAGTACAGTGCAAGAGCGCAGTGAATGGGCCTGCAATGATCCAAGCTGTAGCCCTGCCTCTCTGGATATCCCAAGCTGATTGGTAGTGTGGGGCAGTGTGGTGTGCCTGCTGTGACAACAGTGTCTGTTGCTCTGCCAACACATCTGAAGTTGGGCTTGAATTGCAAACCATGAACTTCATTGCAGTGGGACAAATCACATTGTCATGCTCTATAATCTGCAAATGTGCTCTAATTTTAAGCAAGTGATTCCACTGCATTTGAAATTGTGTGTGGGGATGTCAATAAGGATGGTGGCTCTAAAGTGTTAGGACTATATTGAATCATTCTGTATTTGGACCCAGAGATACTCCAGCGTTTTGTCTACCTAAACAGGAGAACTTGTTTCAATTGTAAGCACAGGTGCAAACCCCACATTTAGCATGCAAAACCAGGCCTGTGCCCTGAAAGAGTGGTCATAGTATGAAAATCTGAGAGGCCCAAGGAAGTTTTCAAAAGGAATTGAAACCAGATTTCAAGCAAGTTCAGGCTGAATTTTAAACAAGCACACCTCTGGTTTCCCAGTAAATAACCAGCCAGGCCTTTTGTTTGAAGCAAGCTGAGGCCAGTATTTGAGAAAATGAGAAATAAGAATATTTTTTGGAAACATGCAAATAAACACATGCTTAAAAACCTCCAAACTCTTCTTTTGTTGTGACTCAAAATGAAGGAAAACTTCAGCTTTCAGTTGCATTCTAAAGCCATATGAAATGAAAATTCAAGGCCAAATTCAGAGCTTGCAAATCATATGTAAACTGAGAATAAGTAAGAGGAATACTGTAAATGGTCTACCAAGCTACATTTAAACCTGATTCATAGAAATTTGAGGGCATGTCTGCATCAAGGACAAGTGTGAATTGCTTCAAGTGAGTGAAGTCTGGCATTGCAGAATGAAGAGCAATTTAAAGTTACCAATACTGATAGCTTCCAAGAAGTTTAAGTGGTATAATTAGAATAATTGGAAAGATAGATTATCTGTCAGGGTTTTCAGCATTTGCTCCCTTGCACAATGTAGTCCTGAGCTTTGTGCCAGCCAAGAATTTCTTGTGACAATTGCTTTGACTGCTTTTCTCCAGAAGTTTAGCATGTTCACACAACATTTTCATGTGGAAATGTCGAAGAAAATAATAGAGAATAAAACCCCAGCAACATCAGGAGAAAGAGAACGAGTAGATGGCCGCGTCTTACTGCACCAAACAGCAATGGAAATGCAAAGGCTGTATGCACCAAAAAACTTGATGCCATCCAAGTCAGTCTATTTATAGTATTTCCATCAGAGGCTGGTTGCAAAAATTATACATAAAGTAGTGTTTACAAGTCTAATTATAACTGTAAGGAGAACAAGAAATTAAGAGCAATATGCCTATGTGCATTGCATAATCTTGTGAGCTTAAAAAATATTTAATTATGAAAGTAAAATGACTGCAGCACTATTTCTGCTGAAGAATTTCTCCCCTCTGTCTTCAGAATGGTGTGACATCCTCCTCTGCTTTCATCTAGTTTTGAATTTTCAACAGTAAGATTCAGTCTCAACACAGGGAATGAAGAAGGGGATGGATGCTCTAATATTGTAGTAGGTATTGCAAAACAAATAGGCAAACTACAGCTTCTTCTTCCTATGTTTTTTAATTCCTTATTCAGCATTTATACTGCTCCTGGGAACAAGGTGCATTTTATGAGGTTGGGGATAAATTTAGTCTGTGTGATGTCACTAAAATGAAAAGGAAAAATAAAATTATTTTTAAGATTGCAAATATTTCTTTTTCTACAGCTGAGTTTCTGGTGCATCTGCCCCAGTCAGTTAGCGTACTGTGCGGTATTATTTCTCTTGAGATGAGGCAGTTGAATAGCTAAATGTGGTTTAAAAGGGCTGATTATTTCTGTGAGAGATTTGAAACAGGCTCAAGTACTTACATTTACATTTTAATTTCAGTAACCCTGTATTATTTCTGCAGGAAAACCCTAATGCCAAGGTTTATTTCGCGAGAGTATTTTCATGTTCAA